CTCAGATTCACGACGAATGATGCTAAGGTGTTTTCCGATAGAGTCAATGTGTAATTAATAGGAAGCCATAGTTCTTCACATTTGTGCCCGAATCACACTTGTATGAGGTTAGTGGCACCCGGATTTCGTGTCTTCTATGGTCTGCTGTTCACCTTATGACACCTGCAGCAACAAAGAATCTGTCGTCAGTGGCAACAGGCTGATGGCTGTTAAACATCCAGCCTATTTAAAACACCCTTGATGAATGTGACCATTTAGTGTCATTCAAGCTCTGTAGTGATTTGGAACTATTAATCAATTCTTATAATCTTGAATGTGCATTAGTATGTGCATTATTGCGAGGATTCCTTGGAGCTAACGAGTAAGTTTATGTGTGATTGCTTAATTTGTTATTTAAAACAATAAGGCAATGTTATTACCACAACCGACAAATGTAACTGGTCCTGAGCCGGCAAAAATATCACTCCCTTATATTTGTATTCACACAATTCTAGGTTGATCACCTGGAACTGCACCTGACCGGGCATAGTTATGCAGAGACGACCACTGTAGTCCTATGGTATTGCACACTATTACCGAAATCTAAATTGTTTGAAACGCAATAACTAACTATCTACGATCAGGTACGATCCGTTTTTGAAGAGGATTCAGAGAAACTACCATTTGTACCATGCGAACGGTTCATCTTGTTATTGCTGTCGATAACAAGGTATACTTCATCCGCAGAATTTCATTTGCGGACTGATTTCGACCGTTTCATGTTTATTTCCCTTGACTTATTTTCTGCTGAGCAGCTTCCAGCCAACGACAAGTGAAGCAAAATAGAAATGTAATAAGGCTAAGTATGGTGAACCGTGGGATTTACTGTATGAATTAGTAAATTCGGATAGGAGTGCTGAGTCTCAGACTGGAAGTGTAGAGGACGGAGGTAATGACTGAGTGTAATTCTGGAGAAGGAAAATATCGTCGAAAACTAATGGGAAAACTGTCTCAGTAGGATTACGTCTATGATCACTGCTTGCTTTGAATGCTGGCTTCAGTTCGCCATGGCTCGTCCTGTTCTTTCCAGTTGAGGTCGCCGTACGTTCCGGGTTTACAACAAATTTGTCTCCAATGGATAGACCGTCGAAGAATTTGGAATGTCGAAGACGTCATACACCAAGCTTCATAACTTGCCATTAGGAGATCTGCTTACAACGTCATTCAGTCGAGTTGCTTTAACTTTCTCTTCATGACATCATAATTATATTGAATAAGGTATGGGAACTTTGACATGCAACTGGTGAGCGCTGGCAAAGCTCTGTGTGTAAAACATGCTTCTTCAAATGCTGCACCACCGGCTCCTACTTGGTTGGCCTGAATTTACAAGGTTAGATGAAACCCAAAAGTCCAACAGACATATGTTCTAAAAGCAAGCAACCCTCTTATGAACAACGGTCATTTAGCTGACACCTGCAGCCTACAAGTGGCCTGAAGAATGAAAGAGCTCATATTCTGAGATGCGCTGGGGACATGCGGTGGTTGATACAAGTTCTGTTAACGGAAGCAGCAACCAACGAAATGACTTCTTGACAGATGAAGCAGTCCTCAGATGTTAAAGTTGCACGTGACGCAACCCAAGTAACGAAAGGACTTTTTCACACAGCCCTATAATAGTCAGGGTGAGTTTGCCATTTTTGCCGTTGCGATAATCACAAAATCTGAGGCCGATAGAAAACAACCGTAGTGGACTTGCACTACTGAGTTTTTTCCCAGATCCGGATGCGCCGATCAACTCCTTCGTCCAAAAAGTAATGTTGTACTGCTGCTTTGCCTGTCTGCCAAAACAGCTTCCAGAAAATCTTTGTAATGTACTACTCATAAGGTTGCTGAAAATCCGTTGACAGCCCACGACCGGTTTCGCCCATTTCGGGACTCACCAGTTAGGCGAAGTTCCCGGGTTTCCGTCAACCTTATGTTCTACTTGAAACCAAATGGAGCGAAATTAGCGAATATTCACTCATTTGCAAATTAATTTGGTCTTTGTTTGAATGTAAATGAGTGTATATTCGCTAATTTCGTGCCATTTGGTTTCAAGTAGAACATAAGGTTGACGGAAACCCAGGGACTGCGCCTACCTGATGAGCCCCAAAAAGGGCGAAACAGGTCGTCGGCTGTTGACGGATTTTCAGCAACCTTATGAGTAGTACATTACAAAGATATACATGTATCGCGATATCTCGAATATCGTAGCGACTGAAACATGAGGCGGCCTGGTGTGGCACATTCAGTTGCCTGAGTACATCACAAACGAGAGATTCAGCTGGGTCTCAGATGAGTCTCTCAAGAAAACCAAATTAGTTTGCAAATGTGTGTATATTCACTAGCTTCCAGAAAACATCATAATCTGCCGTTTGGCTGTGACTGAAAGCTTAGGTGAATGATGTGCACAGCTCGATATCTGTGGTTTCACACGCCGCATTTCGTACGACGTTAACACTCAGTTCACTTTTCGTCATCATTCACTTCCTGAACTCTGAACAGCCATTTTTTTAATGTCTTGTGAGATAGGGGACATCTAATTCTGTCTCAAACGCCAGTAACTTGTAATACCACTTCTTTTTTGTGTTGTTACCTGCGTCAGATTAGATAATTCAGACGCGCTTTATTGCCTTTAGCTTCACTGTTCATTTGAATGGAGTGCTTCAAAGCTCACGGTTTCAGTTATTTTATTTTGATAGAAAGCTGACTGCTGTTTTACGGTTATGTGGAAAAATAAAGTATGGTAAGACGACACATAAATTTGCTTTGTTGTGGACCCCCGTTTGATACATGCAGCAAAGGCTAAAAATCGCAAGTGAACATCACCTAGTGTGACATAAGATTAGCAACAATTCAATGAAGAGATCATGTAATGCAGTGTTTCAGCTACCGGCACGCGAACTCAGCTGCAAATGCCCGGCGTCTCTAAAAGTCAAGTGCGCATTAGTTCAACGAATACTGTATTCTAGTGAGACGATTAATTGGATCAGATCGAAGGGTGAGGTAATTCATGTGTCTTCAGCTCACGAAACATTTATTCATTTAGCCAATATTTCCTCTTTGATTGAGTGATTCTAAAATATTTGTACGAATGCCATACTGATCTTTCATCCGTAGTGCCCACATTCCTGACATCTTTGAGTAGCTGAATTCCATAACGTCTTGATTCAGAACAGGTTCCCTACAGAATTCGTGGGGTCTTGTGATGTTTTCCCATTTAAGCCCAAGCTTAAAATAAAATAATGGAGATTGAACACATGGTTCCGATTTGCAAGCAGCACTGCCTTGATTTTATGTCAAAAATGCACCTTTCCGCCCTGAATGGCTAGCTAAGCCTGCTTCCTGAGCTTTTGTTTTGTGCACTTGGGAGTAGTAAAAATGTCTTTCAGAAGTTCAGCTTAAGTATTCTGTCGACTCTCGGACGGACCACCGATCAAGATTAACTATATTTTAACGTACCTAACGTTAAACTAACAAATCATCCTCATAAAGATGGAGATCAAACTGTGTTCCGATTAGTTAAGTATTACTGAGGAGATTGTTCCCCCTTCAACTGATACCTTTATGAGTATGGAAGAAGAAACACTCGTCTGCAAGTTACATTTATATTAACAAGAGGTTCAACTGAATCTTTTATTTATGATATCCTTTCACTGACTGTGCTACACAATGGCTATCTCGTGTTTCAGTTGAAACGTTATGCAAAATATTGCAGCATATTTTCTTAATAGAATGCAATGCAATACATTCAAAAGAAGAGTACCACAAATAGGTGACTGAGTTGAGTTCCTTGTTGAAATCAAAGTAATGTCAAATGAGTGTTGTTCGTTGACTCTCTGGAATTTTGCCGACCCAGATTTTTGGGACTGAGCCTACCTGATGAACCTGAAGAAGTGGGACCGTAAGCTGTCGAAGGGCTTACAGAAAACTTGGGAAAAGTGTGCTTCGTTAAGCGGAACTACTATCTGCAATTTGGCACTCATTTCAGAGCTTGGTGGGCATTTTGGTATTTTAACGGAGACAGTTAACTGTGAACGTGAACATCATACATCGTGTGTCCTAACTGTTTGTTGGTCCTCATTTGACTTAACAGATTGTACTTGTGTGCATGTGGCCTTATAACTATCTGCTATTCATCTTCCAGTTTCATCACTTCGGGTGTAGGTTGGGTACGGACTTTTCTGCTTTCCACATACCACTCAACTCAAACGGCCTGTGATATGAGGTGTTGCCCACGCGGGACAACCGTGCAGTTCAATGCGATGGGCAGTCACGAAAGAGATGCCAGTCCCGACAGTATGTTTGCGTAACTTCACAGAGTAACCGTCCTCTTAGCCTCTTAACCTCACTTTGTCTAACTTTATTTGCGACAAAACACTCGTCCGATTTATAGGGGCTGTATAGCCGAGTTTACCCATTATACGACAAACGTGAATCGTTTACATGTTCTCAGAATGAACAGGTGTGTCATAAATACCCCCAACATATTGTTACCTTTTCAAGATGATTTAATGTGATGCCATTTTGAAGGTATATATACCGATCCAAAATAAAAAACAGACACCTTCAGATTATATGCACAACAGGCTTCCAAGTGCGCTTAAAAGGGCTATGACAAGCACTGGACAATTTGCTTAACCATCGAATAAGCATTTCGGTGTCTCAAGGTTATGACGCGTTTGACGGACGACCGCTTAACGGTGAACCTCTTATTGGCTAGGCGTATCGCGATGACCTGTATGGGCTTTTCTGAGTGGCCAGGAGAGCTTTAGTGTTTAACCATCGAATAAGCATTTCGGTGTCTCAAGGTTATGACGCGTTGCCATGACGACCGCTTAACGGTGAACCTCTTATTGGCTAGGCGTATCGCGATGACCTGTATGGGCTTTTCTGAGTGGCCAGGAGACTCTGCTTTAGTGTGTGGGACAGTTTGAATCATTGAGTCAGGACTAAAGGCTGAAATTGAGCGTGCCACGTTGCACGAATTGTGGAGCTATATCAAGCAATTTTTGGTAATCGGACACTAAGTTCCTTCACACACTGGCGTACAATGTTGACAACATCGGAATATGACATCTTTACAAGCAATTGAGAATCGCCGCCCCAAAACAACTGGAAGTCTTCAAACACTACCATTTGTAAGTGAAGGGATTTTAACAAAGCCCACATGAATTTATGGCACTAGTTATTCATTTTATTCCGTCAAATGCTGGGAGGATCACAAATATTCACTCAGAAATAGGAAACTTCTTGGTGTGTTTAAGACGTACGGACTTAAACATTGATCTCTACATCTTATTCTGTATGAGCAGGTGGAGCTCACACTTTGTTGTCGATATAAGAAAGTATGGTTCGAATAAAATTCCTGGAACAGAAGTTTTATTATCCTGAAGAATAAACTCTGAAACTTCATAGATAAACTGATGCATTGAAATGCTTGAGATTCAAAGGCTAGCTATCGGGGAACAGATGTCAAGTCTAATGAATCCGGCTGCTATCAACCGTTCAGGAAACGTAAATTTACGAAAGTAGGAGTTACGAAAGGTTTTGTGCTGAGGTAACAACCCAAAACCATTGGGAATAATGGCCGGATGCAAACCGGTATCGTATTGAAACTATAGAAGTTCGTTTCATTCTGCTAGGGTGAACCAAACGTTGTTCACTTTGAGATCCTACTGGAATTTGGAAATCTGTGAAAACAAAATATCGGTCACCAGAGGTGATAATCGCTTGAGTCAAGGATAGTAGTTGCCACCGAAGTACTCGCTTTTCGGGATTATCCGATGAAACTGAAACAGTAGGACGCTTCACAGCCTGAGAACGCAAGTCGTAAGCGACCATGTGTTTCAGTTGCCAAATATGAACAAGGGACATTTGTTCACCTAAGTCGATAAAAAGATTACAGCCTGAATATTTCGTCTGAAACATGGAGAGTAGATGCACCTTAGCATAGGGATGACTGTATGGGTGTGTACGCACATGAATGCTCTCCAGACTGCCTTATAGGTTTTTTTCGTTGGGAATGGCTAGTAATAGAGTTCTGTGTGATCAGGTGAATGCGTGCTGCGCTTTATCGTTAGAAGTATTGATTCTACACCGAACACTCGGTATACTTTTTAACCACTAAAATCAACAGAAACAACGCAATTACCTGATCACTACCAGCAGCTTAACTCCTCTTCTGACCTAAATTTGTTCTCACCTGTGTGTTGTCTGAGAATAGGGCACGTGGTTAAATTCACATTCGGAGTACAATATTGGCTTCATTTTTCCGGGCTCCATGGAAACATCCGTGGTGGGCTTAACTTGTTGAATTCGTTGAACGAATCTAAATGTGCCCCGCAACCGAAGCGAATTTCTCAAAGCAATAAGATATTTTCGTATCATTGTGCCACTACACTACCATTTTATTCGAGCAGACTCAAACAGCAAAAGTGGTGAGCTGCGACCTAAAGATGTAGCTATCTTAAACGACCATTAAAATACAATACTGGGATTCAATGTTTTTATGCACATGTAGAGGTTATTGATAGTTACCTTTGTTAAAGACCAATATATGTGGAGTGACCATAATACAGCGAGCCACGCAGTAAACCTGCATCAAACAGAGGTCTTCAATAGTTGAAGCACCACCTCTGAGAAAAAGTGATTCTGACGTTTCCCAAGGGTTTTTGTCTAACCATTTAAAACTGAATCCGCTGAAGAAGTTAGAATTGATTGAAATGTAGTAGACAGTCTTATTTATTGAATGTTTCAATCCGGAACCAGTCTCAACTGATGACACGCCCGCACTTTCATTCCTAATAATTTTTGGAGGTGTAGAGCCGAGACTGAGCCATTTGGTGTTGGTGTACTTAAACCTATAACGTTGGATGATAAGCTGAAACCGTTCAGCGTCGTTAACAAACGTGTCTTTGACAGAGGGGATACTGTAAGCAGCGGCTTGGTTTTGTACAAATTATAAACCTGCACACATTTATTACCCTGTGGAATCTCCCAACGGTTGAAACCATGCTTTTTAAATTTATCTGGCCCCGCTATCTCTCAGAAGTTGTCAGGATGCGCGAAGTCGGAACTCGATCTAGAATAATGATTCCGCTAGGTGGTATCAGAAGCTACGATATATTGGGAGTGTTTATTCACTAGGTGGTAGCAGAAAATCCGAAGATAGCTTACGTTTACGCCCGTCGAAGTTAGATTTGCAAGATGTTTGCCGAAACTGACTTACTGTACAGATTATATGTTGGTTAACTGGACGTGAACCCTATCTGTGCAAAAGCAGTTGTACAATTGAAAGTACAGAACTACTACAATTAGTCCTGAGATTCTCAGAAATGCATGTCATTATATTCGGGATCAAAAGAGTCCCAAAATCTTGTCTAAATCAAGTAGAAAAGAAGCTTTGGAGAAATGCGGGGACCACGCCTACCTGATGAGCCCCAAGAATGGCGAAACTAGTCGTGGGCTATTTGCAGCAACCTTATAAGTAGTGTATTACACTTATGTTGTGTTTACTGCCTCCGTTGTAGAAGCTGAGACAGAATATTCTGGACAAAAGATAGACCAACATGCGGATTCAGGGAGCAGGGCCGTCTTGACGCACTTGGTCAATTTGTCCGTAAAAGTCGCTGTCAGCGTCCAAAGATTTCAGCAGAAGTTTGTGATATCCCTCACAAAACAGTGCGGCGCTACACCGACCCATTTCTATCACAAAAAGGGTTAGGCGGAACAACAAAAATATAGAGTATTTCCATCCAATCGGTTGCTGATAATGCAAGATTATTGAAGACGGCTGTGTAACAAACACTAGCCACGTACTTAACGTGAAGTAAAATCATGTTTCAGTCCATAAAATTAATATTCTTTGATCCCCTAATATTTATTGCCTTTTGGAGTGCTTGGATGCATGTTCAGTTTTCAAGTTTGATTCATGTTGAACGAATGATAGTCGAAATACCTGGTGCCTCGTTGCCCTGAGGTGAGACTTCAAAGCAGTCAATTTCATGATCCATGTATTTCTGCTGTTAAATAAGTTCACCATTTGCGGCCAAACCTCACTGCACGGACATTTAGCGGTAACACATATCTGAGGGGTAATTCTCTGCAAGTTTCCGGCAAATATATTAAATTTTTGGTTGTGTATGGGCGAGATCCAGTATCATCAGTATGCTTGACGCCGGCCACTGAAAATATAGTGTGCTGGCAAAGCTGACGTTAGTCGTACATGTTTCGTCTAACTTGATCAGAAAAAGCTGTCGTTCTAGTGCAAGATGGTTTGTAGCATTTGTGAATCCGGTTTTAATCACCTGCAGCAAATGATTTGTTTTCAAATATTGGGCCGAGAACGCTGTGGAAACTCTAGCCTTGTCAACAGACGCAGCTCCTATCGACATCAGCCCTGACACAAATATTAGCGCTTTGAACCGCATATCTGAGGGCTGCTTCAGTCTAATCAGCTGACATTCTAAATTGGCCCTCAAAGAATATGCTACTCTATCCAGGCTATCAAAGAATACGGGGAAGGTTTCACTGCAAACTGGTTTACGCACGCCAAACGCGAACAAAATTGCGAGACCATGTACTAAACGGTGAAGTAACACAACTGATGAGAAAGAGTATTACTACAAAAGCGATTGAATGTTACTTACTGTTCCCAACGTTTGTACCAAAACCTTTACACTAGCGCTGCATGAACTGATAAGACGTCCTCACAGCGCCGATACCACGCCCAAATGTGGTTCAAATTCTCTTTGTGTATTGATTGTTTCCAGCAATCAGTTTGGCCAAGTTGAGTTACGCGCGAAATCCTAAAAGCCAAATCGTTCAAATGGAGGCCTATCAGTAAATGTGGTGCTATGAATGCGACAATAAAATAATGGAATTGCACAAACCTCAAATCATGGGACTACACTGGTTTATATACACAGTATAGGAACTGTTTATTCCTAACGGGATCCCAAAGTCCAACTGGCAAGGTGAATACAAGATAGCGAAACCCAAACGTTCAATTAAACAACAAGTGCGATGACAAAGGCGATTTACGATAAGGTCAAAACGAGAAAGGCACAAAGTGAGGAATGACGTAGTACAAAATACGAATGGAATAAAAGAATCAACAGTGTGCCACAACTGATTTCGTTTGTCAGTTCCTCAGCTACTTTTGAGGGCTGGTTCTGATGTGACCAATTCCCATGATTTAGTCAATGTACCGAGTAGCATTATGCGGGAGTTTTGCTGTTGACTTCTGTTGTTGTTGACTCGTTTAATCATGCCGCTTTTGAATCTGAATGCACCGCTCTTTTGACAATTCACTTATAGCTTGATTTATCTTTGCATATCAATTTGGGATGTCGGAACCTTGAAAGGGGACATGTCTCTGGCTTATCCGACAGTGAAAACATGCAAAAACATGTATGAGTGAATCTACGTAACTGTTTAGCTACTCGTGTAGTACAGACAATAACAGTTAATCCAGGTGAGTCAGTTTTCAGTTAGGAAAATGAGTAGTTCTAGCCCCCCGCCTGCACTCTTCAAACGGTCATACATCACTCTCTCCACTTAGAGCCGGTTTGTTCAGAACCATCTATCTCAATGTGTAGGCACTGAACCTTCCTACATCTTTGCATTATCAGTTTTGGTGTAGCCCAAAATCAAAGTGAGTTGGCAGTAAATGAATAGATTGAAACAGAGGGCGATGAATTCAAAAAAGCATATTAATTACCGACGTTTTCGGGTGTAGATTCACATTTGCTACCGCCAAGTCACGGTGTTCTTTACCAGTTCTGGCAGAAAGTTCGCAAAATTAATGGACTGAAAGTCGATGTAAAAGGATGTAATAAACTGAATAAATTATGCGGGATGTGCATTCTTTTATTCAAACTAAGGATTTTCGGACTCTATTTTTAGTTCAGGTTGAGGTCCTTTGATACCCGGTCAACGGTTTACTTTCATCAGTCTTATCTCTTTTGCTGCACAGACAACTTAACGGTTTGTGATAAATCAGGCCCAGTCAACGCGCAAATTAAATACTGCTAAAGATTACGGATTGCATGAAGTTAACTGAATTCCTGTCAAAAATCCCATTACCTCAGAGAGGAAAATACCATTACTTCTGCTCTGGAATGTACTTAATTTAACGGCTTAGAATTTTTGGATGTAAAAATGAGTGAAAATCCTTCGTAATGCGTGGAGAACCCAAAAGTTGCACTACTCTGGATGACGAGAACGTCTTCTACTTTTAGCAACGGTAGTGACAGACGTTTTTCTGGCTCTCCAGCAAATACGAACAGCAGCTTCCTAATAAATATACATATACTTCGTGTAACTCAATGTGTTAGTAAAATCTGCCTGTTAGGAAAAGCGATTGAATGTGTGCCACAGTATCCCTCTAGAGGTGTTCAGGGGAAATCAGTAGACCAGTAAGCAATGCCTTTTAATTCAAGCTTGTTCAAAACCAGCTCAAAATCAGTCCCCCTTAGAAGTACGTTGTATACGGATTCACAGAGTCGAGGTCTCCACCGAAGCAAAAGTTTAAAAATACAAATGAAGTACTCAGGTACACTTTAAGTGCTTGATGGTACAAATTGTGTGGATTTTCCAACCAGCATAGGTGCTGGGATATCGCATGAATGTCGATCGCGGAGTCTAGGATTAGCCGGTAGAGCTGGTGGTGCAATAATGATTACTTGGAAGTTAAAGTAAATTGCGGTCTTATCATTCTAAATTACTGATCTCATGAAGAGAAAGATGACTGTTTCCATAAATTCGACTTTAGTGTTTCATGAAATTCATATGTCTAGGCCGGTTATGGCTGCATATTAAACCCAATTTTTCGCTGCTGTCGTTTTTCGTGTAATTGGCCCCAAAACAAAGCACTGCCCAGATAAACTATAATTGCTTCCGTACTTAGCTTGAATACAAGGCTTTTGGTGAGTTATACCAACTAAAACTTTGTCAAAAGGAAGCCGAGAGGCCTCACCGGCAACCCAGCATTTGTGGTTACCATAAGGTCATCCGTGGAATAAGGGTTTTAAGGAAATCCGCGCTAGTTTGGATGTAGCAAACTTTTAGTTGAGAAATAACACGTATAAATGTGTCTGAGAACAAGTGTATTGTGCTAACTTTGTGTAAGTCGGGTTCAAGTTGTGCATAAGATTGACGGACACTAGGGGACTGCGCCTACCTGATGAGCTTCAAGAAGAAGGAATCCGGCCACAGACTGTCGAAGGGTTTTCAGCAACCTTATGAGTAGTGTGCTACGTCTATAAATCATCTTCGTTACTAATTGGAAGTCGTGGACATTAACCGGGTGAGCTGAAAGCAACCATAATCCCCTCAAAACATACAGTATACTGCTGGATATGATTTCGCTGCGTGAAGACGCATTCAGCTGATTGTCAATATAGTACGGTCCTTTTAACCAATGCTGCTTCTTTTACAGTCAAGGAGAAGCCCTGAAAAGCATCCAGATTAGGTCTGTTTTGTGTGTTTCGTCTATAAACATACCTTTGAGAGGAACTGGAAGCATGGGCCAAATTTTTATTAGGCGGTAAATTCTGCATGTTATCTCTTTCGAAGCATTCAGAATGTAGTTAGTGTCAGTACGTCATACTGTCTGTTACGGAATGCTTTCTCAGAACAAGGAGTTTTACGCCGAAGCCATCAATCTAGGCAATACTTCTGCAGAACCATACAGGAAACAAAATCTCCGTTGCCATCAGGAATATTGTGCCGTCACAGTTTGTTGCTAAACCTGAAGTGCAAATCGACTATTCCACAAGATATCTGATTTATTCTGTATAGTTAGCCTTCTTCTAGACAAAGCCACTCATTTGTATATCAACCTGTTTTTCAGGAGAGACTCAGATGAATCTCTCATGTATTACTTTTTCAACTGAGTGAGGGTAGCATCCTTTATGAAGAAATACTGTGATATCTCGAATATCTTAGCAGCTGAAATAGGGGACGGCTTTTGTGCAACATATTCATTTGAGAAATATCATAAAGGAGAGATTCTGTCGAGAGTTCCAAGAAAACCCAGTTAATATGCAGATGAGTGTATCCGTCAGAATCTGTCCAATTTGGTTTAAAGTAGAACGTAAGGTTGGCAAAATCTCGAGGACTGCTTCTACCTGATGAGTCCACAGAGGAGAGAAACAGGTAGTGGGCTATCGAAGAGTATTCAGCTGCCTTGTGAGCAGTTTCCTTTCTAGAAATTAGCCTTTTTCTGCTTCACGGGTGTACTTTGAATTAATTTAGAGATTACTGACGTTAATTGGATCATATTATCTGTGTTTACGGTCTTCTGCTCACAAAAATCCTAGAAAAATTCTCCTTTCGGTAAATGGAATAGTACAACCGAATTTTCCCACCACTATCCCCACTCAGAGGTGTAGGATTTTTGGAATAACAAATGTACTGTTACACTAGTGAATGATGCCACTATGATTTCTACTCAACAATCCTTCAGCATTGTCAAGGGGATTTGAGTTCATTTTATCCTATCAAGATATCACGATGGTAGCATTTTAAACATGTTCTTTTATCTACACCACAAACGTCGACGTAAACAGAAAACGAAATCGTGGAACGCATAATCTGTCAATTCAGACCAAGGTTCCAAAAAATGCTTAATTCTGATTCTAGTATTGGAGCATTTGTTAGTATCTTTATTAATTAAATTGTTATTTTACGGGCCAGGCCGGTTATCATTCAGGTCTCTGGCTTGTGATAACCCGAGTTGCAGAAGTTGATAAAATAAATAAGTGCAGGCATTGAGGTGAGCTCAAAATCTCAATCATTCACTCTGGACAAAAAGAAAAATGCCTTTGCTTCTTATAAATACCCGTTCAAAACAGTTTGGAACAAGTGGAATACATTTCTACAGCTTCACTGGTCAGGGATGAATCATTTTGATTATTGTCCAGCTTACAACGTTCGGATCAAATAGCCACTTTTCACCTTTCAGGGTGCATCTTCATGAAATACTTATAGATTTTTATGGAAGCAGTGAAAGAAATGTCGGAAATGGTGGTGCAAAACACAGAACCTCAACGTTCTTTCAGCTTCAACTTCCGACTGCTTTTTTTCTGGATATAGCAAAAATGTCACTTTAGTGTAAGTGTTTTCTGTCGTAGCTCCCCAAAAATGTTCCTTGCTGGTAGGAAATTTATTTGTCAAATGCGATGTTAGAAACAGGATACTACAGTCACCCATACCCCGAATATTCACTTCTGACCATCCCAAAAGAGTAAATTAATATTAATTCTCAAAAGAAGAATAAGCATAGTTGTCAGCTAATATGAAAGGAAGCCCCCTTGTCTCAGGGATATTTCTTGTGTGTTAACCATTGTCAGCTAATATGATTTCTTTCTTGGCTACATTAGTGCAACTCTCTAGCTCCCAAATTTTTCACACTACGGTTTACAGCCAACATGGCCAACTCTGTTTTTGTCCGGTAACAACACTCACTTGTTGAGTACGACATTAGGCATTTCCGGCCAAGGATGATTTCCTCTTGTTGACTTGATGTCTCTACTTCCGAGACACGTTATGTGATTTGGAACAAATATGATATCCTGAGATTAATGTTACATAGAAACTGCTGTGCGCAAATCTATGATGTACAGAAACTAAGTAGATGGCGTATTTTTTGCATTTATCAGACAGATCACTGTATAAATTTCGAAAGTCTTTATCTTACGAGCAGTAACTGGGACCTAGACTACTTAACATGAATGCATAGGTGAAATACTTGTCCATTCCAGCCGCTGATTTCCAATTCAACGAGCGTTTCGGTTAACCGTCTTCACCAAGCCGTTCCAACATGCAGACAGGCCAAACTGGAGGACCGTTCTTGCACTTTTATGAGTTCCGGCGCTCATCAACTCCGTGCATTGTGGATTAACAAAATAAAGTGAATGCCATAGAGCATGCTAGGTGTACGCCACTTTATGAAGGAAACCTGTCGAACGCAGCGGATTTACTTCAGTTGTGTGTTTTTTATGGTAGCATAACAAGGCTGGGATATTACTTACTACTTACTTATTATTATTATTGCTGGCATAATAATACTCTCTCTTGTGGAGGCAACCACAAAGACTGCATGTTACATTTTGTAAAAGTTTCAAAGCAGTAATCTTGCATGTGTATTATTGTCTCAACGAATGTTGCAAAAAAGGTGCAATTTGAAAACCTCAACATTAGGAGTTGGCAATGCTCATCGCCTATTGCCTACCGTGTTAGCTTCTTTGTACCATACAGGGCTAGGTTCCAACCAATGGAGGCATAAATTTTCCCCTTGTGTACTGACGACAAGCAGTACAAACCAATTTTGGGAAGAGGCCATTGGTGGTTAATCCATTCAGGCCTAAATTAGAGCAACCATCTTTTAGGTCAAAGCTTTATTACGTCTTGATACGTTTAAATCAGAATCGCTCTTGAACGGGACAAAATGTCATAGTCCTATTCGCCTGGCGCAAACTTATTTTCTGGTGACTTCAGGAGATGTCTCTGGAGCAATGCGAGAAACAGCATGGTTATATAGGCTTCCCTTCATGCTCTGTAAGCGATATGCTGACTTATTAATAGCACTTGTAGTCAGCAGTTGCAACTTGCATTCTGTTGCTTCGGATCTCATGACGTTCTCTTTGCTTCCGTTTTAACATTAACGTACATCTGATTGCAACTTTTCCAAACTAGTCAGTCTATATTATCCTTTTCTATAGTGCATCAAACTCTGTTGCGCATTCCTGTTTTAAGGGTTTTTCGCTGCTACTTTGTGGCTGGCCTGGTCGGTTATTGGAGAATACAGTTCATTAGTCCATCAGAAATGCCTTCTTTCATTAGTTTTGCACTTCATAGTTGCGGTAACTGTGACCACTTGCATTTAAGGTCAGCCTGGAACTTGCGGTTCTTTTGTCCAAAGTGGTGTGTGACGTACGGAAAATTCAAAGCGACCAGTGTGTCATGTGTAATTATTTATATTTCTATTTTATATCAGCCTTCTGCGGAGAGATCGGGAATGCGAACGTCAATATCCAAACCTGTTACCGGAACGTACACCTAGTTAACTCCAACAGTACTTTGACTGCACTTCTTGGGCAGAAATGCCGATTGGTTGTACGACTTTAACTCGGCTCCCAATACAATTCAGCCAAAATTTAACTTGCGGTCAGAACATCGAAACCCTTTATTGAGGTATAAACTGTTAATGTTCACGAACAACAGATGGATGTGAAAAAGTGCGTATTTATGTTGTCAGCTCCATGACAGCCTGAAAGGCTATGATTGGTTTTAGATGAAAAGGCAGGGACTTTCACCCTTACTCGTACGAACCAATCTTGTTCTCGACAATCTGAGCAGGCTAGGATTGAGCCCACAATCACAACAAGTCTGGCTGTTGAACTAGCACCGTAAAACCTATATCCCTTCAATCAATACACTCTCTGCATACCAATTTAGTTTTCATGGAAGACTCACCTGGAAACCAGGTTGATCTCTCGTTAATGATGTGAATGTGCTGCATCAGCCAATTAGGGTTATATTAGAACATGTGGTTACGCCTTACCGATTAGCCCCAAGAAGTTTAAAACCCACCATGGACTCTCAAAGAGTCATCAGGAACCATATGAGTAGTGCATTACGTCTAGAGCTGTATATGTAACATTTAGGCGGGATTTTATAGTTTGAGCTGCAACAGGACTTTACGGTCTGTAATAATGACTGACTTGCATAATTGCGTTGAACTTTAGTTTTTTCTCCCATTGTTCAGATGGAAGATACTCGCTTTTCATCGTGGTAATTTATTTCTTCCTTTTGTTTCTATTACACATTGTACGCTTATTCTCCAAGTTCCTTCATGAAAGCGGATAAAAATTCCGCTGTTCATACTTGTGCATCACCCTCACACTTCAGAATACACAGGAAATTTGATGAATTTTTGGCTTGCTTGCTGTTTTTTACACCACTGAATATGGTAGGGCTTGTTCTAGTGGTCATGAACACAGCATGTCTGTCTTTTGACTCCTCACACAGCTATATTTCCACGATATGCCTCATGGAACCACCGGCCACCTGTCGTCGGCTAAGCAAAAGCATTATGCCAATAGAGTTTTCTAAACGGTGTGGATAAAGTAGAGCAGAGTAGAGTGGAGCAGAGAGCAGGCCGACCATTTGGTACAAAAAATGCCGCACATGACTGAGCACATGCACACATGCCGCAGTCGTGAGGAAAGGTGACAAGAAAGAGACTGAAAACAGCTGAGTTCATTTTTGGCCAAAACGATAGCTCAAAGTGCTATCGAACTCCCTGTTTACCGAAAGTGATTTACCTCCTTCAACAATTCAATGAGTCTTAACAAGCGTATTGATGTGAACACCTTTTCCCCGAGGCTATTTGGATGGGCTTGCTTGCATCGGTTTACAAAAAAGATCTTCCAAAATTCCACACAGTAATGTGAAACTCCACCAAATACTGTAGACTCTTTTGGACCAAAGCTTTCACGGTATGTGGATTTCTTTGGGGTTGGAAAGATCCAAAAACACATCAGGAAAATGAAGTCAATACAAATTCCTGACGTGTGCTTTTCAGTAATGCATGAGGCGTTCGGTTGTCCAGGAGCTCGGGATACTGTCCTGTCAACAGCCGAATGTGCGTAAAAGTATGAGCATATGTTCCCAACTCCTTCTCATATTGAGCAACCATTTTTCTTCGTACTGTCTTGTCTTTCTCGCTATTTATTTTGTTAAAATCGGGCCCACTAGAACGCTTGCCCCAAATCAAATGAGGATTTGAATAGGCTATGTAAGACACTGCGGCCAAAACAAAATTGCATCCAAAATGGCTGTGTACTTGCCTTCTAGTTTTGTGTATTTTAAGATTTACTCTTGGTGTGGCTAAAATCTTTGTACTGTTCCGTCGCACAGTATTCCTGGGATTGAATTTCTATAGCGTCGTAGCTTGTAGTAAACCTAAATAAAATCTATAGTATGGACACCAGAAATTTTTATAAATTTCTTTGAAGCTCCTATAATCTCGAAAACAAAAGCATAAAATTTTCTTCTCCATATGGAATGAAATCATGGACTGGGAAATAATCTGGCATCCTGTGTCCACATTCGTGAATGCTGCCAGGATATTTAGGTTTTTGGGAGAAAAGCTGCAGAGCTGAACTATATGTGCCAGTAAAATGGGCAAATGCATACGCATTTTGATGAGTATGAGCTTAAGTGACCAAAGAAAGCTGGATTTTGGACAGTGGAATTGACAGTGGACGGCAAAGTGAAAGGATGGCGGCAAAGGCCAAGTTGATTACTGCAGGACCTCTCATGCTTCCTGGCCGTGGTCAACGTAAATGTGTTTACACACGACCACGAACTTCATAAATTGTGACACGTAACCAGTCCCATGTCTGTCTTTGTGAGCGAAGCTGCTGGGTCAGTTTCTCAAAGGGTAAACACAACTGCAGCCTCCAACTCCAAAGCGTCTATCAGATTTCGTCACTTTAGTGCTGTTCAAAGGTAAGAATAACTTCAACTCTCTTGGTAGCTCCTCCTAGTGACGTCGGGCTTCTGGCGATAAACACTCGCCCACATCCTTCCCTGTCTACGTTTGTAACGACTGAGTAACATCAATCTACTGCTATCTATGATCATGATAAGTGGTGACCCATGAATACGGTGTATATGGTACGGACTACTGCTATTTTCTTTCTGTACATTGTGGTAATTTCGACTTCTAACTGTATGATTGTACGTATGAGACTTACACTGTTAATCAGATGTGGTATACTTACGATCCTCCATATTTCTTTCTCTCATCACAGGAGAAAAATCGTTTGCAACACTCCTTGTCGGACCCTCCACAGAAACACTATTCGCAAGAGTTCAGAGGTGAAGAAATGAAGAGCGTAATCAGTCGGTTGGAAGATGACAAGAAGAGACTTTCTCAGAGAATCGAGAAACTAACCGCAAATGGTGAGTCCATTCAGTGAATCAGTAGCACCATTTTGGAAAAAGCGCTATTGCTCTGCACCCAAATTCACCAATGTATCTCAATTCACAACTAAGACTTTTGAACTGAGATTAATTATGAGTAGGTTGGATTAAGATTACTTGATCAAAGGAATATTGGTTCTATCAAAGTGTGACTTAATTATTTTGTTGATCAGCTGTTCGTGGTCAGACGTGTAACTGTCCAAACTACCAGACGAATACATCCCAGTGTGTTCACCTATAATGATACTCATATCAGAACGGTCTGACTTGGGCGGTTGGCAATCGGTCTAATTTTTTTAAATTCTGACACCAGTACAATTATTCATATATCTTCTAGGAGTCGTTTTCTTGCGAAATAATTATAATCATTATGTGACCAGTGTTGTCCCGCCTTTAGCGGCGCATCTCTCCAGACGGTGTATTTCGGCGAAAAATTCAAAAATCTAATCTTAATTACGCTAAGTTATACAATATCAGCTGAGTAAATTGACAGATATGCTGATGTTGGTAATTGATCAGGTGGCTGTTGATCTGTTTGCCGAGCTTGGCAATTGATTTGCGAACGTTTCGTCGCCATTCGAGGAGACATCTTCAGCACACTGAAGATGTCTCCTCGAATGGTGACGAAACGTTTGCAAATCAATTGCCAAGCTCGGCGAACAGATCAACAGCCACCTGATCAATTACCAACCAATACACCCGAGCTACCAATATTCCAAAACATTACCAACATATTCTGATGTATTGCGCAAAAAATTGGCAAAACCCTTCGTGTTGTACAATATACCCTCTATTTTGAGGGGACGAGAATGACTGAGCAAAGTTAGTATTTATGAGAACCGGTGTACAAACAACGAACATTGGGAATTTTTGCGAGCTTCTACCATAAAATTTGGTCTGAAGCCAGTTCGTTTAACTTTTTAATTGTTTCATTACGCAAATCACTGTAAATCACTCACAAATAGCTGTAAATTCACTGGATAACATTTTGAATACGGTATCACCATTTGCATCCCCTATAACTAACTACGTTAATTTTTTGGCCATAAATACTTGTACACTTACGTACTGGCCAGAAACGTTTGTCGCAAGAATTTCTAGTGGGATGGAAATAGCGAGTGAGTTAAGGACAGTTCAGCGCTTTCATATGGTAAGACAACTCTTATTGCTGGGATGTCCTATTTAAATAGTTCAACCTATAGTCTACTAGACTCTGCAAGCGTCAAAACTGAGCTTATGAAAGTCCTGGGAAGAAAAATGGAACCATCACAATGCTACCCACACAATCACTGGAAACATAACAAAGTGACTGGCTGACGCTCTGGGATGAAGTGCCCGAAAACCCAATCAATGGTCCTTTGGAAAGAATGGAAACACAAAGAGATAGCAGGATTCTCAATCATATAGAAAACAATTGGAACCGATCGAGAAGTCATTGCTTCAGAAGAGCTTGGTAAACAGTCGATGGTTTGTATTTGGGCAACATTTCGCAACAAAACAAAAGCTTCACCAGGCCAAGTGTACAGGTCATCAAGTTGGTCAGTTTTTAGGGCAGATGGAGAACTAATCAGGAAGTCGTCTTCATATTAGCGCACTAGATCAGTTTTGCGTGTCAATTAACGGCTCCTGTAAGTTAGTGTTGTTTTCAAAATCTTGTGTTTGTGGACTGGGGAAGTTGACGGAAACCCGGGAACTGCGCCTACCTGATGAGCCGCAAAAAGGTCGAAACTGCTCGTGGGCTGTCGATGGATTTTCAGCAACCTTATGAGTAGCACATTATAAAGCTTCAAATTAATTCTGGTCAATTGCCTGGAAACACCAAAACCGAGAGATTCAGCTGGGTTCCAGGTCAGTCTCAAAAAAGCCAAATTAGTTTGCAAATGAGTGTATATTCGCTAATTCCGATCAGGTTTTGTTCTTTTATATTCCACTTCACTGTTCATCGACTGATGATTCACCGCGGTTGCAGCTGACAGATTTGGTTGATCTTTGTGGACTTGTGAGTGCTGCGACAATTGAGCTGGCCGGCGGTAAGGGGGTGAGGTCATGTGGAATTTAGATGATGACTAGTCCTGCTTCTGATGACCACACTCCAGCACGTGTCAGCTCGACTGATCCAGAACCGTTCTCTACACGCTTGCCAGTTTCACACCTTCTATTCTGTTAACACTGAGATGCTTGGCGATTTCTGCCGTCTCGGCCGTCAGCCTCTATGACGTGGACCGAAGTCCTGTCCTCAAAACCTCAACATTTTCTAAATCTATTTTGTGTCCCGTGTCCAGTGCGTGTTCCGCAGTTGCAGAGTCTTTTGGTAACGCTCGATATCCATCTGAGTTTCTCGGCGGCCTGTTTATTTTTCTCCTCTAATCTCCGGTTCTGGTGTGCAGCTCCTTGGCCACTGTCCTATATATATCTTAATGTAGTCGTTACACGTGATTTTGTAGGCGCACTCCTTAGTTCTGTTTGCCGGAAGCCGATTCTTCAATTGCATCAGTGCAGAACACAGAGTGTTTTCCCTCTGGAAAGCTAATCTTAACTTGACAGTGTTTAGAATCCTTCGGATGATCCCCGATGTCCCTGGTTTATATGGAATAACAGCCGTCGCAAGGCATTCTCGTTTGGGTTTTGCCAACGGTACCAGCACCCTTCGTAACTGACGCTTAATCAAGCTAGCTGGATATCCACTTCCCCAAAGTTTGTTCCTTACTTCAATTTGGACCACTGTTCGGCCAACTTTTTCTGTGCACAGAGCCCTACACGCTTGAACATTGATCAGGCAATACTAGCGTATACTGACTTCGGGTGGGCGGACGAGTAGTTCAAAACTGCCCGTGTCAGTTGGCTTCTGGTATACCGTGGTCTTTAGTTTCCTCTCGACCTTATGTGTCATGCAGTCTAAGACTGCCAATGTATGGAGATAGAGTTAACCTCGAGTATACAAGCCCACAAAGGTCAAGCAAATCTATCAGCGGCAACCGCAGTGAATCATCAATCGAAGCACAGTGAAGTGCAGATTGAAGGAACGAACCTGATCAGAATTAATTGAAAAAAGGTTTGGAACCGATTGATAAGTCATCGTTTCAGATTGTTTACCAATTGTTTGTTTATTGAGCTCTTCTGAAACTGATGAGAATTAATTAGAAACTTCTCCAATCCACCAACGCAAGATTTTGAAAACAACACTAACTTACAGGAGCCGTTAATTGACACGCAAAACTGATCTAGTGCGCTAATATGAAGACGACTTCCTGATTAGTTCTCCATCTGCCCTAAAAACTGACCAACTTGATGACCTGTACACTTGGCCTGGTGAAGCTTTTGTGTTGTTGCGAAATGTTGCCCAAATACAAACCATCGACTGTTTACCAAGCTCTTCTGAAACAGAAGGGTTGTAGGACTTTTCGCACCAAAACTTGACCTTGCCGAGAGGCATGAAAGAGATTACAAAGCATTTGTGTGTGGTGTCGGTGCTAATTATCTAATGGGAACCGCCAAATCTACATTGCGCTTGGTTAGAGACGCTACAATGTATGACTGATAATCAATATCATTGGATTTCTTGTTGTCAGTTCCTATTCAGGTCACCTGCATGAGTGTTCGAAGGTGTGGGCACTTGGAATAATTGTAATAAGCTAGCTCTATGTCTCTTTTCCATCCATTTTTATCCAAAATGGCTTTTAAGTAAACCATGTTGTGCGGCAGCAAAGCATCACTGTTGTACACGTGGAGCTTCATGCGCCCGCTTATCAAGGTAGTACTCGTGTAACATTTAATTATTCTCTCCGACTAGACGCACCAACTACCGATAAAACTTTTTCAATTCCATATAGCTGCCCTCAATTTGCAGTGAAAATCGTGGGTGGTCCCATAATTTTACCATAGGGTGTATCGATACTGTATTCTCCTAATGAATTTACTTGAAATATTTCTGCTCATACTTGAGTGTACTATTCTTCTTACGAGTGATTAAGTGAACTGGACTATTTTAGCCTTGGTGAGCAATTCAGTGAATGAATTTCGCCCATTGAGTTCAACGCACATGTTCATTGGAACACAGTGACTTTCAAAGATTAGAGGGTTACTACAGATAGGTGGTTTCGTTTCACTGTACGCTATACGCTAAATATACGTACATAGGTTGGTAACGACATATATGCCTGTGGACATAGATGAAACATTAATTCTGTTAGTAAAACTGCTTTGTACTATTGTTATTGGGTGACCCATCAAATATCTGCTGTCACGTTGTCAGACCGGGCATTGGGTTCACCTGAGTTGCTGACGTTACGCGCACTAGACCAAATCGATATTCAGTTCCGGTGGTCCCTCCGAACGCAATTTATCGTGGTGCCCCCGAAAAATGTTTGTAAATATAGTAACAAGTACCGGAGCTGGTACGCTGACAAAATCAAGCTATTAGCACTACTAAACGTAATAGTATAGTCCCTATTTGACCAGAAAGCGGCAGCAACTGAACTCTAATACACTTACACCTGACTGATACCTTTCCCATCTGAGCTAAAATGTATTAAATACTCTAGTCATCTGAACCGTCACTCCATGGAACTTCGGTTTCCGGACTGTATTCATGTTGAATTGTTTACTGAAGCCCACGTGAACGTCGCATTGCCGTCCATTGATTTTTCACGGGTTGACTACCCATCCAGTCAGACCAAGGTAGAATGTTCTCCACGCCGGACTGTAAGTCCGGGTTTTTCAAGAAGTCCAGTTGTCTGGGCTCTACAGTTGATTGGCAGGTTTCCAGGCCTATCTACGCATCTGAGCAACGGAATTGGCCAGGTGTCCGTTGGAAACCCGTATCATTGATAAGGGTATCAATAAAGACGCTAGGTAATACAGATGGCTCAACGAACCTGGTTGGACCTAGCTAGATATAAAGGACGGTGAGTTAAATGTATCCCTTTCCTGTCTATCTGCTCATCTTCATGCGTTTACTTATGGTTGAGGACAAACGTATATTCCCACACTAAGTGAATTTGACATCTGCGCACTGGATTCGTGTTTATGGCCTAACATCACATTTTCTAGAGGGATACAAAGGACAATGGAATAAGTTCCAAATGCCTCACGTTTGTTCATTATCGTAACGATTCATCCCCAGAAAAAGCCCTCGTATCGGAGCTGGAGCGACTGAAGCGGCACGGTTGTTTGACCAAAAGCCAGAGTGCGAATCACGTGGGTGAGTACGTAAACGAACTTGAAGCTGATCGCGACTACTGGCGCAGTCAAGTGGAAGTTTTACAGAGAATGATCCAAAACGCATCCCAGACTACTCCCACACGCGGGAAAGTCAAATCCAAACCTCCTCCCGGCAAAACACTCGGCAAAGTCAGAGAAACATCAATCAATAAGGTGAGTACCAAGTTCGTGTGAACAGGTCCAGAATTTACTTTTATTCATTGGAAAATTATAACCATGCTATCCTCCACAATGGAGGCGAATTCCACTCAGGCATTGATAATTCCAAAACTCCTGAGAGCGCAATAAGTGTGTTTTAGGGCAACTAAATCTCGAAAAAACCTGCTTTCCTTGACTAAATTGGCGGATCATAAAAAATTCGGTGTACGCTGATTGTGAGGAATGTTTTTGACAAAATGATTCTGCAATTTGACCGGCAATCAAAAGGTTGTAAACTCTCACTTACCTTGTTCTTTGACAGCTCAACTTTCGTCTACATAGTTCTATAAATGCAGGAAACATCGAAAGTGCGCTCTCATAACCAACGGAATTTGTCTTTATAAACATACATCACTCCACATAGTGAATTGTGAGATCAGCCGCACAAATATTGGCAGTAATGAAAAAAATAAAGGATAATGCTGCAATACTTGCCACCAGCACGTGTTGTCATATGGGTTTGGTTAATTCATATCCGGTCTTGCTATGATAGACGTGAACCCCAAAACTATGCAGTAGTTGTTGGAATGTGTGAGTGTATTAGACTGGATATTTGGATGGTATTCTTGACAAGTGCCACAAACGAGTTGGGCTGATGATCTTCCACTTGTGAAAATTACCGACCTTAATTAACTGTCTCAAGGGAAGAAGATACCGGAGTGACATCATCTGTTAAGCGATCTCCAGACAAAGACAGCTTAGTGGCGGTGTGTAGTATAATTTGCATAGGTTGTGACTGTTGTGGGTTGGTATCTGATCTTGAAAACCGACAATGGTGTTCACTGATTTCGGCTCTGAACGCAGATCTCACAGTCCTACATTAAGTGTTCTAAAGCAGAGCTGTTCTCGTCCAAATTGCACCCGTATGTAGAGATTATCTACCCAACTTTATAGTGATGTACTTTTAACATGGCACCAAGTTTCTGTTCACATTTTTATCTACCATAATAATACTGTCAATTTTAACCTCTTGTATGCTAAGGATTCTTTCTCTTAGGATTTTCATGCTACACACATGAACTTAGTTGTCACGTTTTGAAGCCGCCATAGGATAAATTGGCCATATTTAGACTTTTTCGCTACTTAAGCCATTCGCGTCAGCCCTGTTTTAAAGATAAAAACTGTCAACTTAAGTGCCATGAATGATCGAAGGTTTATACAGTCAAGAGAGCTAATATGTGTGCAGGTTGAGTGCAAGAAGAACATTACTCATACAAGTTATATGCGTTTGTGCATACGCACATACGTACGTTACACGGACAAAAATGTATTAGGCCAGGTGTAGGCAACAGTGCCAATGATGAGTGATGGAAGTTGGTTAATGGGTTCAGGTATTTTATTATATATACATATATTTGCACATATATGCATGTACGTTTTCGAATATGGGTAATTGCCGCCACGGAATAATCACTGTTGATTTTGGCGAACTCTTAGTAGGGAAGACACACTACATTTTGCAGTATGAAACGTCTCAGCATAAGCATTACTCCTTACTTTCCAAATAAGACGTCCTTCTATTATTAACGAAGTTTCTCATAGCTGCTCTCAAGTGGTTTAATGCTTCACATGCCTTGCTGCAACCCTACGAGGAAAAGTGCATAATTCCTTCAAGGCAAAACTGAAATTGAAATGTGCATTTATTGAAGGACAGTCTACTGATCCGAGCAAACTAAGCACAGAAAGGCTATTATTTCAGAGAATCTATCACTGTTGTAAACTTGAAACATCGAAGAATTGCTCAGTTTAACAAACAAAATCCATCGATCTAATACTTCGGACTTCAGAAAAAGGACTGGGCTAGCCAGTGTTTTATTTCACCTATCTTGCAGAGTCATGCAGCGTCTATTTCAGTTTAAGAGTCACATAATGCTTCCACGACTATATGGATCAGACTGTTCTGAACCTCTGGAAAAAAGTGAAACACATTGGGCGCACCTCAGACGAGCTACTCATAATTTGCACACCAGGGGAGGGAGGGGCTGGTCTTAATATCTTAGATGGACTGCACTTACTGTGGAGTGCATGTAATTATTAATAACTTGCACAATTCATGAAGTTTAAACAACTTGAATCTTTGAATAGCACCCTGCGGCGATTGCGAGCAAAATTAATCTTATTAGATACTATTCTACGTCCCCAAAAAAGAGTACGCTCTTGAGACCCGAATTTCTTTATTCGTTACTTCGACAACGATGGTCACCTAAGTCTCTACTGTTACGGAACATGTATGGATTAGCACACAAAAAAGCCGTCACCAACTTAGCGGTGACAGCGAGCAACATGATTCATTTTTTGCCACAATTATTTTCGTCGAGTGATGAGAAACGTCTGGCTCTAGAAGAAATTACCCCGCTGTTCACCAGTAGCTGGGCTGATATGGAGAAAATGTCTGTTGCTCATCGAATTTACCTCGATGGTTCTGGATGGGAAAATATTAAAAGGCAATAAACGCTACACTGTTGTTTATAAATTAAAGTAGTGACTTAACGACTGGAAACTGTTATCCACCATATTTAGGTGGTTCTTATAGTGAGGAGCTGTGAAGTCTGTTGGGAGAGATGTGCTCGGGGCAAATCGGCAATGTGCACGACAACGCGTTCTGAAAGTTCGAGTTGCGATGACAAAACAATCAAGTCTGCAGCGAATTCACTGTCCTTGTCTTGAATTTTTACAACTGGGCGAACGGAATTTTTATCAACTTCCGCACCCCGGGTCTTCGCTGAACCTAGCCTATTAAAATGAATAGAAGAAAGTGCTAACACGTTCCTTTTAGTCATATTCGAGGTTCCATTTATCAATCTCTACATGGTAATAGGGAACCTGTTGATACTTCCTGTTGTGCTTAACAGTTGACTGTGACTACATCTCATAACCTTTCATGGTCCAAGCATGCTTAATCGGTATTCAGTAAAATGGACTAATTTTTATTTGATTCTCCACGATTAAAAATCTCTTCCGTAGGACATCGCTTTTAAGGCTGTAGTTTGGAGCAATATTCCATTGGCTTCATTGTTCTGCAGTTTGTACTTGTCTCAAATGAGAATAAGTCAAGTTTATTGCCGGATCCATAAAAGTGATTTTTGGAATAAAAAACTGGAATAATATTGAGTTGATGTGTTGCTGAAAGGCTTTTAGTGGTACTAATAATCTGGGAGATGCTGAGATTCAAAAACCTGTTTCAACATTTAGGAAGCAGTCTCAGTTTTAACTACGTTTGGTTCCATTCTACAAGATTGGCCGTAAACTACAACCTGTTTGTGTCCGACCTAAAACCATGCTCATCTTTGGTGAATCAGCTATTTTTTATTTCTGGAGCACTCTGTTTTCGTCAACCCTGTGTTGGAGATTTCGTCCTCTCCAGAGAATCTTTTATGTGAAGTAGTATGTACTGGTACAGTCGACTGCATGGTCGCTGCAGTGATTTCTGAATTTTTTTATCGTTTTGACTGAGGATCGGTGTTTTTCAGGATGATAAACTGGTTATCTAAGTAAAAAAATCCACTGTGACCCACGCTTCAGTCGGAGAAAAGTAGATTCTGGACCCGGCGTCGGCATTTTTTTTCACTCAGAAGAGGGTTTCAGCACTCTATCCACAAGCTGCCTGCATATATGAACGGGAAGAGGATTTGTAACTGCTCTGGGCCTGGGACTGGGGCTGTGAAAATGCGCTTATTGAGTTTCGTTGTTTGACTGCTACTTTAAAGAGCATATTTTATAAGCACAGATCATGTATCATGTCGTCACGTTCGCGAATATTTCTTGGGTGAACATAGTCGCTAGTGAGACATCGGATAGGTATAATGAACTGTCCGGTAAAAATTTACGAAATCGCAATATTTATTATGGAGGAGTAACATGAATGATTAAATAAAATGGGGCACGACTGCTACACGAGTGTTGATTTTCTAGTCCCACCGTTGTTTCCGTCATTATGAATTAATATGTTCTCGTGGCGAACCGTTTGGTATAGCGGCTTTTATCAGCGTTTATCCAAGCAAGAAAAACAAAAAAGGACAACGACATTTAACTGCTTCACCGTGTTGGCCTGGTGAGGAAAGCGAT